GAATCCCACGTCATTGCTGCATATGATAAATGAGAGTACATATAAAAAGTTTAAATACTTTCTAAAATCAACTTTATTCTTAATTTTTGTACATAAATTTCTTCAAAAATATTTTAAAAAATTAAAATAAATTTCTTTATAAATTAAAAATTGTTTCTTCATAAGTTAAAAAGAAATTTTAAAAATAATAGAAAATAACTTCTATAAATTAATTTATAAATAAATTAATTTTAATTTATGAAAAAAATTATTTTCACAAAATATTTTATAAAATTTTTATCCAAACATGTTCATACTGATTTTTTTTGTCATTTGTTGCTTTAGAAATTAAAATATAAAATTATTTATAAAATTATAAGAACTAAAAAATATATACATATACATACTAAAATAAAATATTGTTAATTATATAAATTAAAAAGTTAAATTAATAAGACTATTAAAAAATTTAAGTATAAATAAGGATATTCTCTCTAATCTTTATTATAAAACATGAAGGAAATAATATTTTTTTATCTTCTTTATAAATATTTTATAATTTCTTTAAAATATTAAAAAAATCATCTTTTATCCATGTTAAAGAATTTAAGAATATGTATTTTTTTTTTGTTGCATGCTAAAACAAATTGATAAATAAATATTTTTTCTCTCATTTTAAATTTTTTTAATTATTATTTATCAATTTTTTTATTGATATATAAGCTTTAATATGTAATAATATTTCTACTTCTCTTATAAAAAATTAATAATTAATGAAAAGGATAAAATTAATATATCATAATTTTAAATAAAAAAACTAATAAAATTAAATAATATTTTTTAAATTTTAATAAAATTAACTAATATAATTAATTTTGTTATTATTATTATTATTATTATTATTTAATGTGTAATTTGGTTAAAACTGGCTTATAATAAATATACTATTGATATGCCATATTTGTGATCCAACTCTCACCAACGCAACCCCGGTACAGTAAGTATACCGACTTGGCCCAAAAGTAATTTGTAGAGGGAACATAGTATTAGTATCTGTATCTGTAAACCAAACGGAACCACCATAATACCCACAAGACTTTTATTCCATTTCTTTTTTTAATTCAAACAAATAATAACATCTGTCAAACAAAATATATACCAAAATAATACAAAATCATTTACATTCCGATTTAGGATTTAGAATTTCTTTTTTTTTTCCCCTCTTCTAAGTCCTCTACATTTGTGATGTATATTTAGTAAAAAAAAAAAATAGAAAGAAGAGAATAAAATAAAATAAATAAAAAATTAAGATTATTTGATAGAAGAAAAGTAGAAAAAAAATAAGGTGAAGATAATTTTTTTAATTAATTTATATTTAATTAAATAAAACACTAAATTGATATATTTTAATATATTAAACTCTTTATCATTATTTTATTTATTTTTATTATAACAATTGTTATATTTTTTGTTGAACATCAACAATGAATGAATAGTAATTTTTGTCTAAATCATCTTATTTTTTATGCATAAGGTTTGTAGAGATTGGTTCTACTATGTCTTTTCCATGTTTCTTGTAATACACCAAACACATTATTTCTATATATTTCAATCTTTGTTGTTCTCTCTCTTTCTTATTTCTGCTACTCCAAACACATCATTAAAGATTTTTATAAAGTTAATTTTTCTATTAGATTTTCTTTTCAGTGATTATTATGGTGGACAAGTTTATTATATGGACCACTAGTGCACAAGTGAACATGAACTTATTTTTATTTTTTGTTTTTTTTATTATATTAAAATACTTGAAATTTTTGAAAAGCCTATTTTGTAATCCAACCTTCTTATTTTTGGATCGTTGTTGGTGACTAAAAGTTTTGAAAAATCTAATTCTAATCGAATTGGTATATTTTATAAAAGTGAATCAATTAACCTAATCCGTTCTTTATAAAGTGTATTGGTTCAATTTTTTTAAAATAAATATGAATAGGATTTTTCAAAATTAGATCAGTTCGATATTGTGCGATTATTCATTTCATACTTACATATGAATCAATTTTTTTGAAGAAAAAAAATCGATCCACCTTATAATAATGGATCAGGTGGCCAAACCAATTTTGCAAAATGGATTTGTTCAGTTTTTTTTATCAAAATTGATCAGAGTTTTTTTTAATACAAATTGAATCGATTATGAATTGGTTCATATTGGTTTGGAGTTTTTGTACAAAGTTATTGGTAACTTAGCCATTGTCCTCATTGTCATCCTCCTCCTTAACCTGATTAACGACCCCATTAACAATCATCCCCCACCACCACAAATAAAAACATTAATCCGAGGGTTTTGCTTGATTTTGTTTTAAGGATTTCATTCGCAATCCTTAGATATTCACAATTCTTAGGTTTTGTCAATTGAGAATTTCTTTTTATTAAAATTACTTGGAAAGATTGAGACTAGGGGGATTCCACAGATTTTGACAACCCTTATTCACTAGAGTCATGCCTTATTTGTTGCCACAGTGATGGTAGTTCATAGAAGAGTGTTCGTCAATTGAGCCTACCAAGTTGGTTTTTACTTTGATGTTTGAAAAGTATTTAGAAAATCTTAGAATCAATTTTTTGTCGAGACTCTTTGAATGTTTTTATTATTTATTGGGATTGAGCTATCTATGATAACTAATGTTGTCGAAAAAGATAATAAAAGGGTTTTATTGAAAACATGATAAATGAGGTCCATTTTTACTAATAAAAATAAGAATGACCTTTTAATTTTTAATATAATTTTTAAATTAATATATTATTCTAATAATTAAGATAATCTATATCGATTATTACATATATCATATTTATTCTCCTTTGAACTACTTGATTTGTTGGTTCACATCAGATTTCACCTTTATTTCCATCTCATTTTCACTTTGTATTCTTTTTTATCAATGACTTCCTTTTTTTATTTTAATTATTTTAATAACAGTTATACTTCCTCTCCTTTCTTTTTCTTTCTCTTTTTCCTTCCTACCTCTTCCCTTCAATCATCCAAATCTACCCAAAAATTGGATAGACATATCACATATATATTTTTCCAATTGTGAATTAGTATAAAAGAGACTTTGAGATGAGTTAATTTGGAAAAAAAAAAAGTAGCATGAATTTGAATAAATAGTAGAAGAAAATTTGCAACTTTGATGAGAAAGAGACACAAAGCCACATCGATCACGACTCAGCAGCGCAGAATCGACTCAGCAAGTGGTCCTGACTGACACATTAATTTTGTGAGCCGCACATCCTTCGACGCAAATCATAGTATTCTATGTCGACAAAAAAACTCAGAAGAAGTACGATTAGTGTCACACAGGCTAGAGTAGCTAATCATTCACCCATTTTCTCTTCGTTTCAATTTTATACCATAATAATAACAATTTTCTTACTTATTTATTAAAATACAAAATTATCAGGATTCTTAATAAAAATCTTCTATTTAGCGGTTCCTTTTCTTTTTCTTTTTTAAGGGATTTATCTAACATAATTTAAATCAAATACGGTTAAATAAATCTAGAATATTACTAGTGTAATTAATTTTGAAGGTAATTAAGTATAATCTTTTTAATTGTACTAAAAAAAAATTATTGGGTCGTTTAATCATATTTTTACTTGAGGTAAGTCAAATAGCTTCTTATGTTATTACGAGATCATCAGTAAATATTTTTCAAATAGTCATTAAAATAACCGCATAATTAAGGTTCTAATTCGTGTAAAAAAGATCAAGATTCTAATCCAAAATCATTTATTGAACTAAAAATTATTGTATCGCGGTTGATCCACTGACCCACATGCATGCTTAATATGGGAATTAGTTCTTAAACTATAAAATATTTTTTCAAATTTTAAATATAAGTAAAAAAAATTAACTTACACTAATTAAAAAAGTTAATTTTTGTAAAAAAAGGAAATTTAATTAAAATTATTTAATTGCACTAATTTAACTTAAAAATAACTTAATTTTCTAAATTATTTTTTTTAGAATTTGTGTCATTAAGAATAAAGTAGATAATTAAAAATACATTTTAATTAAATAAAGGATATTTCAGAAATAATAGAATAAAATCAAGTAAAATTAGTTGATATTTGCTTATCCTCAAATCGGAAACAAAACTATAATAATAATATAATAATATTTTTACGTTGTGTTTTTCAAACGGAAATTATTATTATTATTATTTACTTGATTCTTATAGTTATTTTATTTTAAATTTTGATTTCTGTACAAAAATTTGAATGTAGAGACTAAAAAAATTAAATATAAATAATTATAGAGATTAAAAAATAGTTTATTTATTATTATTATTATGATTATTATTTTTATTTTTATGTTAGTGTGTATATTGTTTCTGAATAAATATATAAGGTATGGTGTTAGTTTCTGACGAAGATCCGTTTCGAACAGAATTGTGAGTTTGTGACTCTTATTATATTTATAAAATATGAGCTAAACATGAAATAAGGGACAATCCCACATTCCAACTGTGATCAATAACTATTATAAATTAAGTTTTTGATTAATCCACATTAAATTTGTTATTAAAGATACATAGGTGGCAACACACAAACTGAATTGGATAATCTTGTTCTGCTTTGCTTTCGTTTACTTCACCATTTTTAGAATCAAAATGTAGCTAGTTCTGTGATATCTTAACATATATCAAACTAACTAATATATAAAACAAAACTCTCATAGTATTGTATATGCTATCATCATATATGTTATATTCTATCCCGATATCTATCATGTGTACCATATGTTGTTAAACACAAAAATTAAACCGAAAATATTCTTATAATATAAAAGAATTAATACATAATAATATGTGTTGTGTGTGTGTAAAGAGTGTGTGAGAGACAGACAAATTCTTTTTGGACGTATAGAATATTATTGCAGCCACAACCCACAGAAGCAATTCAATTTCATCACGGCGCCGAAATTATGGCATCTCATGCTATCTATATATAGGCTTCTCTTAGTTACTCTCAACCACACTACAATTAAACACACGAACGCACTAGCTATAATTCCCTCCAATCCCTCTCTCCCTTTGTGCTTTTCTAGTTCTCTCCAAAAACATGATGAGTTGCCAAGCATGGCCAGAACCAGTGGTTCGAGTCCAATCCTTAGCTGAAAGTGGCCTAAGCTCAATCCCTTCACGTTACATTAGGCCACACTCCCAAAGACCCTCTAACACCACTAGTCTTGCCCCCCACAAACCCTCTCAGGCTGATTATGATCATGATCATGGTCATAACCATGACCATGATCATGATCATATCAACATCCCCGTCGTTGACTTTGAGCACCTCTTCAGTGAGGATTATATCCTCCGTGAAGAGGTGTTCCGACGCGTGGACGAGGCATGTCAGGAGTGGGGGTTCTTTCAAGTGGTTAACCACGGGGTTAGCCACGAGTTGATGAAGAGTGCGAGGGAGCTGTGGCGTGAGTTCTTCAACCAGCCACTTGAGGTGAAGGAGGAGTATGCTAACTCCCCCACCACTTATGAGGGTTATGGAAGTCGCTTGGGAGTGCATAAAGGTGCCACTTTGGATTGGAGTGACTACTTCTTTCTCCATTACATGCCTCCCTCACTTAGGAACCAAGCTAAGTGGCCTACATTTCCACCATCTCTCAGGTATGCATATCATATGTCTGTTTAACTATTCTCTATTTGGTTGCCTTTTGTTGTGAAAATATATCGCTTTACACCCGAAAAAATGTCCAATAATTTTCTCTCTCTACGATGAATAATTTGATTATTCTAAACTACCACATATCCACAATCCTAATCGAAAAGAAAGTAAAACAGAATATCCCATATGATGAAAAAGAAAAAAAAGTTATATATATACGGAAGTATAAAACAAGTATAAAAGTTAAAGTTGTGTTGCTTGTTACAGTGGTCGTTTTAGTTTCAACTTAAGGCCAAATTGAAAATATTTAACTAGTTAGGTCACTTATTCTAAGGAAAATGATACATCAACACTTAGGTACTAGTCAACACCTGGGAAAGAAAGAAACGTGATAAAATAATAAGTAATATAATATGACATAAAGAGAAATATATACAGATAAATTATACATATTAATAGAGCGTTCCTAATGTTAAGATGTCTACGACCTACACATATTCCCCTTATTATAAACACTCAACTTATTATTTGACGCATGCACACACTAAAATTGAGCGAGTCGTGTTAAAAATGTACTTATCTTTAAAATATATATACTTTAATAATTTTTTATTTTTATAATGGATCGTGTCTACTTAAAAATTACTAAATATAAAATCCTCAATATTTTACCCCGGACATGGTTACTTGAATTTATTGGTAGCAGAGTGATTATAGGTTGCTTGCTCAAACACTCTAGCTTGGCTTATATTAAGAATTGAAGCATGTGGATATATTTCGTTGCTCATGCATGTGTTTTTTCTTCTTTTTTTTCTTTCTTTTTCCAAAGTTATTGTTGCCCTATTTTGTTTGGTAAGATGCAGACGTGGCTACTATATTTACTTAATATTAGTTGCTGGATGATGGTGTACCCAACTTATTAAAGTCACGTTCTTTTCATTATATATATTATAAAGGTCTTATAAGGGGGTTGTAGGCATAAATAAAAAGTGGGATAGCGAAAATTTTGGACCTGTCAATTTAAAGGGTGTTGGGCAGAGCCGTGTTAAACATAAATGAATCTTTCACTTTAATATTTTTTTATACAATGGAAAAACTTCTATATTTAACTATTAATTTTAAACATGCTTTTTTAGATGAGAAATTAATTAAACAAAGAAGTAAAGCTTTTTGAATTTTGACAAGTTCAGCCTTGGACACTATCGTAATTACCAGTGGGGTTGGGGCAGCTTCATAATATGCTCTAGAAATTGACGCTTCTTAGACACATTTTTCAAGCGTAAACACGTACACTCGCCATTTGCATGTAAAACATGTGGCGATATATGGCAAAGAAAGCCAGATTTTGCAATCTACGAAAAGAAATTGAAAAATAACCCTTAGGATAAAGGAGAATATAATAATAGTTGGACAAAACTTACCGTTGTTATTGATTGAATGGACCAATCGAAGACATTAAACATTCACGGGTGCTTCGTAAAATAGGATGGACCAAAACTCCTGTTGGCTACCATTTTGGTCCAATGGTTCCCTCTGTGAAATAGGTCCATATTATGCAATTGTCTTTATCTTTTATTTTTCATATACACGCATTTTAAATATCTCAATTTTGTGGTCACAAATATTTTCTTTATACCCAAATCATTTTAATCCTTAGCCTTGTGAAAATAATATATACACTAGTAAAAGTATGCTAGTATATATTCAATTATATTGTATCTTTTTCTTTCATTGTACATTTCGATCATCCGAGCTAACCCCTAATATATATTTTAGAGAAGGTTAATTGGGACCCAGTTGCTTGCAAGTATAGTAATGGTATATAATCAGGAAACATATTTAGCTAAGTGGTTTGATGTCTCTGTTTGATGATAAATGTGTGTAGGACCATTGTCTAGTACTTTATATTGATAGTACAATTAATGTTGTCGCTGTCTGGGATGAAGAAAACAATGAAAACAATGCCTCTAATTACTGTTTTGTGGTGACAGGAAAGTTATTGCTGAATATAGTGAAGGAGTGGTTAAGCTAGGAGGAAGGGTACTCAATGTGATGTCAACAAACCTTGGTTTGAAAGAAGATTTCCTTCTTAATGCATTTGGGGGAGAAAGTGAGCTTGGTGCATGCCTAAGGGTGAATTTTTACCCTAAGTGCCCACAACCTGACCTCACTTTGGGACTCTCCCCTCACTCAGACCCTGGTGGCATGACCATCCTTCTCCCTGATGACTTTGTCTCTGGCCTTCAAGTACGCAAAGGAGATGAATGGATCACAGTTAAGCCTGTCCCAAATGCCTTCATCATCAACATTGGTGACCAAATTCAGGTCCTAACCTTGTCTAAAATGTTCAAACCTTTTTTTAAGTCAAGCTTTTATATCATATGACTAATTGCATTAAGTTGTGATGAGTTAAATACTCTAGCTTATGGAGACAATCTATTTAACGGAATCTCATATTTGATTTTCATTGTGTGTGCAAAATTTCTATGATAACAATTATAGTCACAATAGTATAAGTGATCAAAATTAGTCTCTGACTTAGTGGGTCGATAATACCCATGTCAGAACCAAAAAGTTGCATTGTTTCACATGCTATTATAGTCATAAGTCATAATATATTTTTCTTAGGGTTGTTAGTAATTAATGAATGTTCAATGCCATGTTTACTTTTTAGGTGCTGAGCAATGCAATATACAAGAGTGTAGAACACAGGGTGATTGTGAACTCAAACCAAGATCGTGTTTCCCTGGCCATGTTCTACAACCCGAGGAGTGATTTACTGATTGAACCAGCCAAGGAGCTTGTGACAAAGGAAAAGCCAGCTTTGTACTCACCAATGACATATGATGAATACAGACTCTACATTAGGCTTAATGGACCTTGTGGAAAGGCCCAAGTTGAATCACTGGCTTCCCAAACGTGATTCCAATAGTGTCAATCAGGACAAGACAGTGTTTGCATCTAAATAATTGGACATGTTGCTTTCTAGTGGATGGTTATATCTATATATATATATATATATGTATGTATAATGTAGATGAAGCTTTATCATGTTTTTATTTTGGGGTGCAATAGTTGAAAATGAAAAGAAGACGTTGAATCACGTGTTGAAATTATCCTTTCATGTGTCTGGATATCGCAAAGTGAGTAATTGCCTTGGTCAATTGAGGAAAGAATTGAATAATGGTAAGTGATAGGGACGATTTGAGCATATATACCTTTATCCCACGTTGGCCTAGTGTGGAATGCTGACTATGGTTTGTGAAGGAAAAAGATAGCACCATGATGGGACATGATTTCCCCAACACACACCATCTAATTCAGTTGACAATTTCCAATATTCATGCGTGTTTCGACCGGAGGACCTTATTATAGTCATTAATTAATTTAGTCACGTTGTAAATTGGCCTCCAGATAAGAGTTAGTGCTAGTTTGGTTCATTTGCATAAACAATCAATTCAATTTCATAACCCATATACCTACTACAAGTCCTTAACTTAAGTAATTTTCTCAGAACTCGGATTTTAATTTTATAAATAAAGAAAACTTGTAACTATACACGAGACAAAACAATACATACAAATGTTATTTCAGTTAAAGAAACATAAGAACTCAGATTTGTTATATGAGAATAGATAGCAATACATACAATAATTTAATTTATTTTAAACTTCAGCAAATTAATATATATATATATATATAATAATTTATTACTTCAACCAATTATAATTTTAAAGACAAGTAAAACTAGAATTAAAATTAAAATTTTAATATTAATTAGTAAGTCAGAACTCATAAACTATCTTATTTGTCAATTTGACAAACGCATGACAAGACTGGACACTTTTATATTTTCTATTGATAACAAAACAATAATAATTGTAGCCAAACTCAAACTTTTATTTTGTCCAACACTATATTACAAAGTACAAATATTATTTAGGTCCTCCAAGATGTGAATGTCAGCATGAAAATGCTTTGAAGGCCCAAAACACCAACCAAATATAGAAATGATCATCCATTTTATTAGGCAAACAAATATTCTAATTACACAAAAGTCATAATAAGAAATTGGGGACCAAAGGTGACTGACATGCTGCTGCAAGCTGGCTCCAAGAAAGATTCCAGGTTTGGTTGTTGAATTCTAGTGGGGTTGATGATGCATGTTCAAAACTTGTTAGAAAAACACCCTCTTCTGATATCTTTTGCTTTTTGCTTGATTGGTGCTCTTCCTCAAGTTGTGTTCTCAAAGATTCAGATTCCTCACAAAGACAAGGCAGAGAAGCAATTGTAGTAGCAAAAGGCTTGCATGCTTTCTCAATGATTGTTTTGCTATGGTTACTTTGTCCAATTCTCTCCATGTACTTTCCTTGTGCTTCAATTTTTAGCTTCAAGCTTCTCTGAACCTTCAAATCAGTTAAAACAATAAAAAGAAATTCTCACCATCTATGGTTTTTTCCCCAAAGAAAATGGATGTTTACCATGTTTGGATTTCATTACAGAAAAAAAAAACTGCAAAATAAAGTTTTTTTTAATTATTTCCTAATTTTGTAACTAATAATTATATGACTACTTTTTTATTTATAAAAATTTACAGTGACAACAATCACTGACGGATCCAGAAAATTTAGTTAGTGGGGGCAATACTTACTCATATATTTGTAGTATTAAAAATTTTACATATAACTTTTAAAAGTATAAATATATATCATAATTATTTTTATAATTTTTTATATCTACAATTATGATTAAGGATTAAAATAAATTGGGTAAGACTAGATTATATTATAATTTAATAGATTTGAACATAACTTTCTTTAAAATTATATGTCTTTAATATGACTTATTTATCTGTCATAGATATTTTTAAATGTTTGATTAAAACTACAATCCTAAAGACCTACTTTATAATAATTTAACACTAATAAAACCATAAAAATAAATATGTTAAATTTTATAAAAAAACAAGTTTAATTTATTTATGATATAAAATATTTTTAATATCTGATATAAATTTTTATATGATAATTTATTTTAAAATATATTTTATAATACAAATTCAAAATAGAATATAAATCTTCCAACCTTTCTTAATTTGATTTTTTTAATCATATACAATCTTACAATCTTTACTATTATGATCTTTTTAATCAACATATACAATAAATAGAAAGTATAAAAGGTAAACATGCATAATACAAATTTTATTTTATCAAAAATTAATCTTTTTAACATATTTTTTTTATCACATATGAAAACTAATCTCTTTCAAAAATTTAAAAAATATTAAATAAATGAACATCTCCTTCAAATTTATATTTTATACATATGATAATTTAGATATATATATATATATATAATTAAAATATAAATTTTATTTTTTAAAATATATTATTTTTTAGACAAAAAAAATATATGTATAAAATGGTAGTGGGGGCAAGTGCCCCTACTATCTCCTATGTAGATCCGTCCGTGACAACAATAGAATTTGAGCATAAGATCATATTTATATTATTTCAACTTTTACTATTAGATGAATCCTAATGATTATATATTATTGTTGTGACTTTTGCTAAGTCTTGAATCATGATTAATGTAAATTTAGTGCACAAATTTTAATTTAGTAAAATAAAAAATTTAATATTTTTTTTCTCCTTTTACTTCACAAATTGAAGTATCATACTTTTAAGTTTTAAGAAACGACCTGGTACCATGATTTCAGTTGAAATATCATAATTTTTGAGGTCTCTCAATCACAATTGCAATTATATTTATTGGCAATTTCCCATAATATCAAATACCATAACAAAATTATAATTCTGACCGCAATTTAAAATCTTACCTTTACTTAATATATAAAAGTGAGATTAAAATTTTCGATCAAGAAAGTTTATCAAAATAAAATCGTTAAATTGCTTGGTGAAATGTTTTTGCTAAAAAGTTGGATTAATCCCACTTCAATTCTGGTAGGAATATTTTGGTGAAGTACAATACAAATAAATAATAATAATAAAAAAATACTACCTTTCTTTTTCTTTTTCTTTTTTATTTCTCTTTAAACATTTTTTTTAATACTACCTCTGTTTTATCACTCAAGCGATTTTGCATCTCTGTCTGCATTTGAAGGACTTCTTTTAGCTGAAGAGCACTGCTTGGTAACAAACATTAATTACAACCATTGATAATAAAATATAATTAATAATTTAATGGATGCAAAAATGAAAGTTAAAAGGTGAAAAAAAAATTATTGTTGTTGGAGTAATTTACTCACGATATAGAACTAAAATTTGGCAGTATATCAGATATGCTTCTTTTCTCAAGCTTCCCTCCTTCATAAATGAATAAGAAACAAGTTATGAATTCACATAAATTTAGTATTATCATTGTTTAATTAGCATCAAGACTTGCTTGAGTAAGAAACTTACTTGTGGGGGACTCTGGAATCAATTTGGAGATCCTGTATTTCTGAATACATCCATGTTGAACTTATAAGTCAATGTTCACAACCTAACTTTATTTTGTTTTCCAAGTGAATTATTTGATTCACATTCTAGAACGAGAAAATGGCATTTGAAATTGAAGAAGTTCTAAATATATGTGCCATTGAAGACACCAGCAATTTTATGCGACTTATATTTATATACTATATAATGAAAGGTCAACTTTGGTATTCAATGATTCAATATTCTTTGATTTTCCAAATACTAATTTTAAAATATATAAGCATGTTAAAATTGTCAATAGATCTTAACCATTCGAGGATGCAAAAAATAAATTAGAATAATATTTAAATATTTCTTACTTTCATATTTAAATTGTATTCAAACACTTTCAAGGTAAAATTGATTTGAAAACTAGAATAATAATATTAATTATTATTTGAAAAGACTACTTTAAAATATTTAACAACATTATATAGTATTAAATTTAAATTAACTCTTTCTATCTCAGTGTTTTAAAAATCGAATTGGATATCTGATCAAATTATTAGATCAGTGAATCATGAATTCAACCAGTGACTCACTAATCAAATTGGATGATTCGGTCTTTATTAATTTTTAAAAAAATATTTATATTAGATATATTTCATACCTATAAGTTTCAATAACATTCATACAATGTCTTAAAGAAGTAAAAAAAAAATAGAGTTAATATAATACTAACAAAACAAACAAATTATAAACTAGTTGAATAACATAACATAAATTAATATAATTAAATATATAACTTTAAATTAAAATTTATTATATAAATTATTTAAACTAATTGTATAATAATAAAGTATATTGGTACAATAATCACTAAGGTGATAAATAATTACATTCATCAATCCTCAAGTTCCATCTAGTTTAAAATTTCCTTTTGTATTTTTGTTTGTACGAAGAAATACACAGGAAAATATTTTACTATAAAAAAGTTAATCAGAAGTATCGAATATTATCAATAAAAAAATAAAAGTATGTAATATTTATTATATATAATATATTTATCAAGTATAGTCACAAAAAATGATTTGGTTAGTGGTCATATACACTGTCCAGCAACTACAAGATGCAGATTCAATTCTTTCTCGTTGCTGGTTTATTTAAAGGATGTTTATGATCAATTGACTAGTATGTGAATAAAGTTTTTTTATTTTTAATATAACATTGTTATGAGATGCATTAAGAAAATTGTTATCATATAATTAGGCCATGTTTAGGCTTAACTTAAACAGTTTAATTTATTTATTATTATTTTTTTATGAATTTCATCAGCAAGTTGATGATGGATCCATACTTGAATGAGACTTAAATGGTTTAACCATTAGGCCCACAATTGGCAATGAATTTAGGGGTCCACACTTTTGAATGATGTAGCCCATGGATATCAGGCTTTGCTCTCTTTTGTATTTTTCTTCTTCTGAATCGAAAATTGAGTTTGAAAAAGATAATGCACACAATATTGAAAGTAGGAGAAAGAAAGAGGAACCTGCAAGTGGCTTTTGATGTGATAAATGTTTAATTCCGAAACACCCATAGCTTTCATTCCTTTCAATATACCTTTTGGTGTTGCGCCTGGACAGACAAACAAACCCAAGTAATAAGTCAGTCCTGATCATTCTTAAAAATCATCATGACTAAACAAACACCAAATTTGCAACTATTTATACCATAATGAATGGTGTAATGAACCCTTAATGATAATTTTTTTGAGACCATATGTGTATTATATATATGTGAAAACTCTTGTTTTAAATATTTAACATATGTGTATAGTGTATACTTATAACTCAAACTTCATTGGTTAAATGGAAAAAGCATGAATGAGAGAATTGGTGCAAAGACTTACTATCAGGGCCCCCAAGTTTATTTACAGCCTCCACAAAGCGATCATGGAGTTGTTGTGTCCAGCGTAGGCGTTCTTTGGCAGTGGCAGAGGCACGTGAGCGAGTGGAACCCATGACTGAACAACTTTTGGGGTCTAAGAGGCCCAAGCCATGGGGTTGTAAAGAGGAGGATTATAGCACAGGGAAGCCAAACAAGGAGAATTAACCAAGGTGCCGATGTTTACCATGCTACATTGCCTTTCCTTAGATTCTGCTAACTGTCTCTAGTTGTCGAAAAAACTCATGTCTCAAGCTTAACTTTTTGTGTCTATGTTTTGTGCTTTGTTCTTTGTCCCCAAGGGAAAGGGTTCATTTGGCGAGAAGGCCTATGATTCAGTCAATGCCCTGATTTACTAAATAACACCTAGTTTCCAAGTCAATTCAAATTCATATCCACATTATTTGGACCTTAGTCTCTTATACGTTGCTTAGAGAAATGGATCACTTGGTGAAGAAGTTTATGTAACAAGATCGAAAAGATTATTCATAAAATTTATTGAAATAGGTTTAAAAAAATTATAGAAAATACATAAGCCATTTCCTCTTAAGTCCAAATAAGATCATAAAAATGTAAGTTAATTAGTTATTTAAGTTTTCTAAATTTTTTTATTAGCCCCTATCAATCCTTTGTAATCTTTTTTATCTTTACCAACAAAAAAAAAATCAAGGTTTTAATAGTTCAAGGATTAGAGAAAGAACTTTTTAAATACAGGAACTTATTTGAAGTCAGTAAAAATGTTAAAAAATTAAAATATGGATTTAACTTAAAAGTCTTAAATGTACAAAGAATTTTATATTATTCAATAATAAATTGTTATATATATGACAAGATTATTGATTTTTAAAATAATTATTTGAAAAATTATATCTAATATAATTTTTAATCAATTAAGAGTCTATAACTTAGATTAATAATGTATTAAAATTCACCAGAACGAAGATGTCCTTCAACAATTAAAGCAACAGCATCATTTATTTTATTTTATTTTATTATCAAAACTTAATCTTATTCACTACACTAATCTTTCAAAACATGAATTTTAGAAAGAGAAACCTGTAAAATTATATCCCAAACTCAAATCTCCAAATCAAAATACGCCGAGATGTTAAGTTTAACAAAAGCTTTTCGTAATATTAATATAATGGCATGTTTGGAACATCTGTTCGTGAGATTATTCTAGCCAGAAGTTCTGTCCAATATGCACAGCTTTTTTGCATCCAAATTAACTATAATTGATGCAGCTTTTACAATGAGTGGATAGTTTCAGAAATAGCAAAACAAGAAACTCCCGAGAAATTTATTTCAACTTCAAGTTCAATACTTATCCGTCCTGCCTTTTAGGCTAGTGATTAGAATTTAGAAACATCAAAAACATTGCAAATCAAAACTTCAAGCAACACATAATTGTTTTTTTGGCCAAGGCCTCTATGCTTCAAGCATTCCATTCGTAATCTTTCATTAACCCATCAAGCAACACAATGAAAGTTTGATTAGAAGACACTGTGGAGGGGAAAATGTTTTGTTTTCTTAAACAATGTTAAAAATAAAATAAAATAAACTACAATATGTAAATTCAAACAAATATCAACTAATCCTCTAATTAAAATTTGTCATGTTCTATTCTATACTCTGTAACATACACCAGCGGTTCATCTTGGTGAAAACAAACTTAATCCCAAATAAATTCGCCCAGAGACTTCAATACAACGCCTATTACATGAACTTGTATAAGTGATAAGTGATTCAACAAAATTACAATATCTTGTAAGCCCCGAAACAACACTCACCCATTCGATTGGCTTCAATCTAGGGCCTGCCCCTCCTGAGGCTGCATGATGGACATTTGTACTGCTTTATGCTCTCAGCCTTTGCAGGGGTAATCTTAACACACTTGCCATGGAACCACTTCTCGCATATGTCACACCCGATCCAAAACTCATCTGCGTTGTAGTTTCCACCACAGCTTCCACAAAGTGTCTCATTGTGCTCATCTTCATCCTCCTCGTAGCCCTCATCTGCAAACTTTGAGTTGCTTTTAACTTGCCCATCACTTGACCTCTGCAAATACATGTACATGAATGCATCATATATGGAATACACCATGTGGGCTGGCATGCTTTTGTATACCGGATGGCAGAAGCCTCAACTAGTGCAATATACCATATGAAAACAGACATCATGGACTATTACTTTGTTTCCAATTTCTTTATCATCACAGTATGTGATTTCAAATAAATTTCAGCCAATAATAAGAGTGGTATCGTTTCTAAAGAAACTGAGAAACAGTTGTCACATGAAAAGAAATACACTAACCTTGGTGCTTCCTCGAGATTTGCTTCCACTGTCCACAGTGGGCTTGTCTTTAACTGGTTTCCTGTCAGTCACAACTTCAAAAACGGATGGAAGATCATTGATTAAACTAAATAAACGTTTCCTGCCATAAAAATTAAGGTAACCATCAATACAAGGAGCCATAGGCCAAACACGTGCCGAGCAGAAATACCACAATAAAGAAATCCAATAGAAGTTTAATGGATCGACATATCTTCCAATTAGCAATTGAAGAAATTTCTAGTTAAAGAGAAAGCCATAAGGGAAAAACCATAGTAGTCAATCCTAGATAGTAAACCAAAGCAGCCAACCACAAAAGTGTTACAACAGTATAGCAGTTTGTGGAGCAGCTATTATATTTAAGATAACAGATTATTAAGCAATCGCTGAACCAAAAATAGTAAAAAAATAATAATTTATGTGACAGGAACTGGGTGTTAGGGGGAGCCATGACAGTTATTGGAAAATTTTAGCAGTTAAACATAAAAATAGGTTACTGTCAATGCAGCTTTGCATTATTAGAATAAGTTTTGTTCGAATACAAGCTTAGAAGTACTTTTAAGAGTTTCTCTACTAGAAAAGGTTCTTTATTTTAAGTAGAGAAACTCTCAAAAGTGCTTCTAGCTTATATTCAAACAGACTTTGTTAAATTGAAACTGTAATTTTGGCCGTTTAAGGCAGAAAATTAAGAGCAGAGGCATATTATTAAATATGTGTAATAGGGGGAATGGGAGAATAAGTGTATTTTTTTCTAGCAATTTGGAAAGAACTCATCTTTGTAGGAACATATGTCTCTAGGAATATATTCTATGTGATTTTTAATATTTCTCTTCTCCAATATATCAATTGGTGTGTTCTATCAATTTGGTTCGACCTTCTGAATTAAAAGGAGGTAATTCTGTGACCAGTGAAGAGTAGGAGCATGACATGTGTGACAGTGAGATTGAATAAACTGAAATTTGGAAGAGAAACTAGAGGTGATGGAAGACAAGATTGAGGCTCGGGCAGGGGCCAGTGTGGACAGGAAATTGGCAAATTTTGAATGATTTTGTTGGAGATAAGAAAATTGTGGGTATGTAAAAGATGCGAAAGACGGTTCATCAAATAGAGAAGAGAAGGGATCAGAATATCCCAATCATGACATGGATAAGTACCGTATAGAAGTTAAGGTTGAACCATCATCTTTCAATGGAGATGGCCCTGTTGGGTGAATTACTAAAGCAGAAACCTATTCTGAAGTTCAAAATATTAGAGGGGGAGTATTAGTGGAGAAGTGAAGATTAAATTAGCAAATCATAGCAATGTCATCACATTTTAAGTTGATTGCAGGTGCAAACTTTCACAGGGACAACTGGAGCAGTGGACATGACTACTCCCAGTGCTAACAAAAAAGTCATGCTTTTAATAAATAATTGCTGGATAGGGACCTCGGCTGATCTTGCTGTTAACATAAGATTGTATTTAAAAACAAACATCAGATCACAATAGAGAACAGAGAAATTTGAACCATCACCATATTTTAAAAAAAAAAGGTCCATAATTTCTTGAGACATATTCATCCTTCAAAGTGACTTAAAAGAAAATTCAGAACACCAACAGCAACCCATAATCTCAATGTTAAACAAAGCACATAAGGATGTCTTTAATGGATAGGGAGCCACATTGACCATGAATTATCACCACATATATGCATCATCATCAAAGCCAGTGCTTACCTTTCATTGCGATTAAGACGAGCTCCAAGGTAGAAGGATACAGAGAGCAACCAGGAATCACTATGCACAGCAACCAGAGAAAGCCAATCCCTGCGGTTCATGCCATCCCTAGCAAAATTGATTCCAAGTGCTGGCTCAGGGAGCTCCGGGGGAACTTCCTCGGCCGGCAGAGTTACCTCCCAGGCCTCATTCGGGTGTCCATAGAGGCATAAGTTATCCTTATCTTAAAGAAACACACCAGATACTTCAAATTTAACGGAAGGACACACAGCATTCCATAATCACAAAATCACATGAATTAATAATCTCAATTTAACAGAAACTAAAACCCAGTAAAGTGAACATGGATGTGACGTACGTGACACTCTAATGGTGGACTCAAATGTCAAAAGAACAAACCGCTATATTATTTGACACTCCCACGAAAACTAAACAGCACAATAACCATGTCAGAACTCAAATTATGTGCATAAAACTCTACCTTGTCACTCCATCAAGCATGCACAATTCACACACCCCAGAGGAAGAAAAACCCAAATTTGTGAAACCAAACGAATCCCATAAAAAATAATTTAGTAAATCCAATATTTTTTTACATGTAACAAAAAACAAACTAAAAAATTGAACCCCCATAAAAAATCAGATCCTAATTACCCTTTACCTGGATCACAGAGGCCGTAAAATTCATCAACATCTGAGAGAAGAAAAGGAGGAAAAGGTCAATAATTTGGAGAAGCAAAGGGAGAAAAGAGAGTGGAAAGAGAAGAGTAGTACCGTGAGTGAGAGCGCGAATAACAGCGGTTCTTCTGGCGCTATAATCCTTGAAGATCTCTTCCACGGTGCGGGGACTGGAAGCCATGTCCATTACCCAATTGAGATCTAAACGAAAAGGCTTGGGATTTGGGGGAATTAAATAGAATTGGAGAGCGAGACCATGGGAATTGATCAAATGAGTGTAGAGAAAGAAAGGAAAATTAGAGACTAGAAAGAATGATGTGTATATGTATAAATTTCCACTCCTTGTGTTTTTTCTCTTCACTTATTACCTCCTGCTTTCAAGTTTCAACTAAGAGGGCATTTTGGAGAGAAATTAGGTCATTAGGTCTCATGTAATTAAGGCAAATGTTAGGACAAATTAAGGATTACAATGTGCCTAGTTACAACTAAAATGATCAACTTTACTACGGATGTGATGAATTTGAGAGTAAATTTAGAAGAAAAAAATAATGTTAAAAATAATTATGTATCGGGTCGGAATGAAAATAATTATACTCATTTTTATTATAGGTGTGACAAATTTGAAGATAAACTTAAAAAGAAATATAAGATAAAAAATGATAAATGACTCAATCAGATGAAAAATGACCATACTAGTGTGACAAGTTTGAGAATGAGTTCTAAAAAATGTATATTTAAAAAATTAGGGTCTACATTTTATATTTTATTTCTATTTTTTTTTAACTTTTTAGTCATAAAATTATCATCTTATTTTCAAGTTATTCCTTATTACAAAGATTTATATAGGAATTATAGAGGGGAAAAAAAGATCTAGTATAGCTCACTGTATTAATATTAATTCTTATTTATTTTAATATTTTTTTCGTACATATCTAATGTGGATACTCAAATTTATAATATAAAGTGATATAAACTTTCAATCTAACAGTTGAAATTACAAAATTCATATTTAATATAAAGTTATTGAGCAGTGTAATACTTAGTAAAAGTTACACCAGTATTATTATAACTCTCCTCATAAAATAATGATCCACATACATATTTTATTCTTGAAAAAATGATACTCCCACTTTCAACCATTGTTTTATTCCTAAGAGAGATGAGAAAGATGATTTCCATATATAAGAATCTATACTAAACATTCATAAATACCTTCTTTGATCGCTATCCACTATATAATTACTATCACATTTAGGTATCTTATAGGCCATATTTTTTTCTTACAATTTTGTATATTTTATTTACCAAATTGTATATATCATCACTGAAATACAATTATTTGAACTTTTTATATCATATTGAAGGTGCATCCTTTTCAAAGATCAATTAATATTTTTCTTACAAATTAATTACTTAAAAGAATTTGGCTAAAATGTACTTTTAATGTGAGTTATTTTTACTATTCAACGGTTAAGTATTTTAAACTTATCACATTATTTGAGAATCCTGGTTATTTACTAGGAATCGAATTCTAACTCTTGCAAATGTAGAAAATTCAAATTGGGAAGAGATGTCCACTTAATTAATGTTTGTCAAACTTCTAAAGAAGATTGTCTCTATGTTAAATGAGAAATATTCATTGCTAATGAACAAAAAAAAACATTACACTATCACGAGACACGTATTTTAATAATTATTAAACTATTTTATTTTTTATACATTTTAATATTACATTATATTGAAAATATATAATAATTTGATAACATGTTTCACATACGAGCTTCTTAGGAGTCATTTGGTAGATTTTTTTTTTTTGAGCTAGAGAATTGTGGTTCTTGGGAATAAAAAAAATATTAAAAATCATGATTTCTGTGAATGATTAAAATTTGCTTGGTTGGTAACAAGTTTTTTTTAGAAATGTTTATAAATGATTAAATGTCAGTACTTGAAAATCAAATATTTTTACTACATCACTAAGCAAATTAAGGTAATATGATATTTTTACTATAATAAAACATTCAGTTTAGGAGTCATTTGGTAGAAGATATTTTTTTTTTGTGTTCGAGTATCATGGTCCTTAGGAATAAAAATAATCTTGAAAATCATGATTTTTAAAAATGATTAAAATTTTTTTGGTTGGTGACGAGTGTTTTTAAAAATCTTTATAAATGATTAGTCGTTAGTACTTGAAAATCAAAGATTTTACTATAGCACTAAGCAAATTGAGGTAATGAGATATTTTTACTGTAATAAAACATTCATTTTAAATCAGAAATATCAGATTCTCACCTCCAAAGAATTTGATCGAAAACTTGTATAAAAATCATTTTCAGAAAATCATGTTTTCTAGAAATCTTATTGTTTTTAGATAATAAGTCAAACATACAAAACTAACGATTATCAACTTCAGATTCCTGAGGAAGTAAAACCTTTTTGTGTATCTAACATTTCCAATATTGAATTTTTTGAGAAAATAAAAAAATAATTCAAACGTTAATTAATGAAAAAAATTGCATGTCTATACTCTAAATGGAATTGTCACAATTTATAAAGATAATGTCATGAGAAATTATTCATATTGTAACTACACTATTTTTTTTAAATATATTCTTATGCATTATAATAAAAAAAAAATCTCTTTTATAATAAGTATATTTTGATAATTATAACAAGGAAAATATATTATGAACCAAACATATATATTAATTATTCTTAAAAGTATAAAGAAGGTTTTAATTCATAACCAAACATGTGCTTTTGAAATACATAGGCATTATTTTCGGATATGTTATTCCTAATGTGCATCCGAGATTACCATGGCAACTTTATCTCCCTCACTTCGCAACGCTGTTACATGGCTCTTGCTCTTGGTCTTGGACAAGGATATTCATAATATAGTCATATCCCATTGTCGGGATCTTCTAAAGTTGAGATAAAGTCTCAACTTATATATTTTTAAAAAGTGAGATTTGCAAGTGATGAATCAATTAGATCAATAATAGATGCAAAAGTAATAAGAATGAGAATGAATAGAATTTTGTATAAAATAAAATAAAACAAAAAAAAACTTCATTTTGTTTAAAAATTATTATATCGTATTTCCTAATAATAATGAAAGATTTTATCACTTGTGTTATAGCAAAACAATAAATCCCCGAGAAATTTATTTTCACCTTCAAGTTCACCTCTTATCCGTCGTGGCTTTTATGGCAGGAAATTAGAAACATTGATACACGAATCAAAATTTCACGTCTTACTTGACACTCATGACTCATGTTGTTTGCTTGTCAAAGATCTCTATGCTTCATGCATTCCACTCGTAAATTTTCAATAACCCATCAAGCAACCCAATGAAAGTTTGATTAGAAGAAACTGTGGATGGAGAAAGGTTTTGTTTTCTTAAACAATGTTAAAAATAAAAAAATTACAATATGTAAATTCAAGCAAATATCAACTAATCCTCAAATTAAAACTTGTCAAGTCCTATTCTATACTGAGTAACATAGACCAAGGGTTCATCTTGGTGAAAAGAAACTTGATCCCAATTCCCAAATAAATTCGCCCTTAGAAACCGATACCATGCCCCATTACATGAACAACTTGATAAGTGATGTTACAAAACTACAGTATCTTGTAAGCCCCGAAACAACACTCACCCATTCGATTGGCTTCAATCTAGGGCCTGCCCCTCCTGAGGCTGCATGATGGACATTTGTACTGCTTTATGCTCTCAGCCTTTGCAGGGGTAATCTTAACACACTTGCCATGGAACCACTTCTCGCATATGTCGCAGCCGATCCAAAACTCATCGGCATTGTAATTTCCACCACAGCTTCCACAAAGTGTTTCATTGTGCTCATCTTCATCCTCCTCGTAGCCCTCATCCGCAAACTTTGAGTTGCTTTTAACTTGCCCATCACTTGACCTCTGCAAATACATGTACATGAAAGCATCACATATGGAATACACTATGTGGGATGGCGTGCTTTTGAATACCGGATGGCAGAAGCCTCAACTACTTGTGAAATATACCATATGAAAACAGACATCATGGACTATTACTTTGTTTCCAATTTCTTTATCATCACAGTATGTGATTTCAAATAAATTTCAGCCAATAATAAGAGTGGTATTGTTTCTAAAGGAACTGAGAAACAATTGTCACAAGAAAAGAAATACACTAACCTTGGTGCTTCCCCGAGATTTGCTTCCACTGTCCACAGTTGGCTTGTCCTTAACTGGCTTCCTGTCAGTCACAACTTCAAAAACGGATGGAAGATCATTGATCAAACTAAATAACCGTTTCCTGCCATAATGAATTGACGTAACCATCAATACAAGGAACCATCTACCAGCAGGTGCCAAGAAAAATACCACAATAAAGAAATCCAATAGTTTTTACGGATTGATATATCTTAGCAATTGCGAAAAATATTAAATGAAGGAAAAGCCACAAGGGAAAAACCAGAGTAATCAATCCTGAATAGATTAGCAGAGCAAAGCAGCCAACCCCAAGTGTTATAACAGTATAGCAGCTCGTGGAGCAGCTACTATATTTAAGATAAAAGATTATTAAGCACCCGCTCTACCAAAAATAGCAAAGAGAAAACAAAAATAATTTATATGTGATGGCAACTCAGTGTTAGGGGGGGTCATGACAGTTATTGGAAAAAATTAGGAGCAGTTAAGCATAAAAATAGTTCAATCTCAATGCTGCTTTGCATTATTATAATATGAGCATATTTAGATATAAGTATAGAAATGTTTTTAAGAACTTCTCTACCGGAAAAAAAGGTCTTTATTTTCGGTAGAGAAGCTCTCAAAAACGCATCTAGCTTATATCCAAACCAACATTTTAGGGCAGAAAATTAAGAGCAGATGCATGTTATTAAACAGGGGATAGGAGAATAAGAGTGTATTCTTTTTCTAGCCATTTGGACAGAACTCATCTTCATAGGAAATTAGGAATATATCTCTCTAGGAATATATTCTATGTGATTTAATATTTCTCTTCTCCAATATATCTATTGGTGTGTTCTATCATTTTGGTCTGACCTTCCAAATTAAAAGGAGGGAATTCTGTGACCAGCGACGAGAAGGACCATGACACGTGTGACAGTGAGGTTGAATAAATTGAAATTTGGAAGAGAAACTAGAGGGGATGGAAGACAAATTGAGGCTCGGGCAGGGGTCAGTGTGGACAGGAAATTGGCAAATTTTGAATGATTTTGTTGGAGATGAGAAAATTAATGGGTAAGCATGTAGAAGATTAGAAAGACAGATCATCAAATAGAGAAGAGAAGGGATCAGATTCAGCCAATCATGACATGGATAAGTACCGTATAGAAGTTAGGTTGAACTATCATCTTTCAATGGAGATGACCCTGTTGG